TTTAACATTTTTTGTTGTTGTTGTTCAAATGTATTTAGTACAGGGTTTACTGGGTCTCACGACACAGATTAGACTCAAGTGATTCTTCCTGTTTTTCAGCCTCCAAAGCACAAGCCATCACGCCCCGTCTCAACAGTGCACCTCGGGTGGGCCCCACACTCCCGGACAGTAGGGCAGGATCAAACCCTGGTCCTAAGCAGGCACTTTAATTCACTGAGCTATCTGGCCAGCCCTTTAACACTTTGATAAGCTTTGCTCAAAGGCAACAAGAAGCCAGGAGCACTGGCACAGGCCTGTAATCCTAGCTACTGAGGACAAGGCAGGACTGCAAATTCAAGGCTAGCCTGAGCTACACAGCAAGAGTCCCATCTCAAAACCAAAAAGAATACAGAATGAACTTTAGCATTGCCATGGATGCGAACTGCTGATGTTGTAACTGATCTGTTATTAAATTACTCTAGGGGCCGGGGAAATGGCTCAGTAGAATAAGGGCTGCCTTGGCAAGCGCAAGGGCCTGAGGTCAATCCCTGGTACTGCCAAAGAATAAATAAATAAATAAAATAATAAATTAAAAACAAAAATAAATAAATAAAAATTACTCTGGCCTACACTCATATTTCATATTTTTCTTTCTTTTTCTTCTTTTTTAAAATCTGTTTTTGAGACAGGGTCTCCCTATGCAGTTTAGGCTGGCCTTGGGCTCACTTTGTAGCCCAGTTTGGTCTTGAACTTGAAACAGTCCTCCTGCCTCAGCCTCCTAAGTGCTGGTATTACAGGCATGTTCCACCATGCCTGGCTTATATTTGCTTTTAATTTTTAATTTGGTATAATTTGGGACACAGGGACTTGGGAGACAGCACAGTGGCATAAATGCCTACCTGGCAAACCCAAGGTCCTGAGTTAAATCTGTTACCGCAAAAAAAGAAAAAAGACAGAAATTGACAGAGGTATTACTGAGTCCCTGTAGTAAAAATATCAGCCTGATATGCTTCTACACTAAGGCAGGTTTGTCCCCTAAAGCATGATCCTTTTTTAGCCTGTAATCCTCACACTTGGGAGGCTGAGGCAGTTTTAGGCCAGCCTGGGCAATTTAATGAGATGCTATCTCAGAAAACCAAACAAAAATTTAAAAAAACTTGCGGTGATGCTTGAGACTCAGATTTTTTTCTGATCTCAATCTCTCATGACCGGGCTGGTGAGATGGCTCAGTGGTCTAAGGCACCTACTTGGAGCAAGCTTGGCAAAGCACGGGGACCACGGTTCGATTCCCCAGCACCACATGCCAGCCAGCCCTGCCCCCTGGTGGGCTGAGCTGGCCACACACACACACACACAATAAAAATAAATAAATAAAGATTAACTTTGAAACAATACCTTTAAAAAAAAAAAAAAATCTCTCATGACCTTGACCATCTCCATATGGACTGGCCAGATGTTTTTTAACATATTCCCTAACCTGGCCAGGCTTGGTGGCACTCACCTGTAATCGCACAACTCTGGGAGGCTGAAGCAGGAGGATGGCAAGTGAGGTCCAGCAAAAGATGCTATCTCAAATTTGAAAAGGGGCTGGGGATGTAGCTCAGTGTGAAGGTCTTAGGTTCAAGTCCAAGCACCACAAAGCAAATTCCCTAACTTGGGTTTGAGTAAGAACATGCACAAGTAAGGTGCCCTTCTCTTCCCACCCTCTCAGGGTATCAGACCCACACCGTATCACCTGTGATGCTGACCCTGGTTTCCTGGTGGAGGTAGTCTCTCCAGATGCCCACAGTTATTTTACCATCATTGCCTTACCCTGCTGCGTTCTGGAAACGTGAGCTTTGGGCGGCACTGGTTTGGATACACAGATCCTGGAATATGTGTTGGAGGTGTAGCCTAGTTTATGCAACCTCTATCCTTGCCAGGCCCCCCTCAGGCAGGGAAGTCCTGGCATATAGACTCCACCAATGATATCCAGCAGCTGCCTGTCCCCTGCCATGCTTGGCTCCAAGAGCCACCTCTGAGCATGGGGGTGGGGGTGGGGTATATGAAAAAAGTGACTTCCACTGACAGATGAGAAGTTGGGGCCCGATGATGATGAACTAGAGGCCAACTTGAGTCCACTGCACTTTCCCCACATCCTCTGCCCCTCTTACCTATGAGCCCAGATGTGTCAGTTTGCCACACTTCAGCCTTCATTTCTCCATCTGTAAAAAGGAACAACACCTCTGATAGGCTTGCAGTGAGGACAGGGTCACAAAGCTCAGGGAAGAGTGGTGGCAGGGCCCAGGGGACATCCCAGGGTTTGAGGTGGGCCTGGAGGCCCCACATGGGGGCTGCTGAGCAGATGAACACCCCAGGTGACCACCATGACAAGTGGACAGACTCCTGAGGCCCAGAAAGGGTGTCTGTCAAGAGTGCATAGGCCAGTACCTGCCTTGACCTTGCTCACCCCTGGGGCAGTAGGGCCTGCTCAGCATCATCCTACTCCCTTGTGACTGACCTCCTGATGTTGTTACCAGCACAGGCCTGGGGTTTCTTCCTGCTCCTGCAGCATGGCTGTTAGCCAAAAGGCATCTTCATGCCCCAGGTGGCCCCACTTCTTCAGTGTGACTGTTGTCCTGCTGGACACTGAGCCCTAGAAGCTGACACAATAAGCATCAAAAGGAATGAAGCATCCTGACTTCCTCCTGTTTCCAGCACATGTGCAGGGCATAGAGCTGGGGAGAGGAGACCCAGTAAAGATACAGAGGACTGAAACTCCTGTGAGTGGGGGCAGCTCCAGTGGCCCACCCTCTGGGCCCTAAAGGACATAGGAGGAGCCATCAGTATGGCTTAAAGGTGTAATCCCTGCACTATGGGAGGTTGAGGCAGAGGACTGCAAGTGCAAGCCCACCCTGGACAATTTAGTGAGACCCCCATCTCAAAAATAAAACACTTAAAAGGTGTAGCTCAGGACAAAGGCCTGGTATTAAAAGTATTTCAGTGTATGTGCTGCCAGAGCAAACACTCTGGAAGTATAAGAGGCCAGAGGCCAGCCCTGTCAGAAACACAGACCACCAAGTGCCCACGTGGTCCACAGGCTTCAAAGCAGCACAGCAGAGGGAATGGGGTGAGACTGCACCCTCTGCGACAAGGCTAGACTTCTGTCTTCTGTCCAGCCACTGCTACTGCAAATTGGTGGCACCTCAGAGAGCTCAGTCTCCCATCTCCTGGGAGGTTGAAGCACCTTGGAGTGGAGCAATTCAGAGGGCAGTGGCCAGCCTGAGGGCAGAAAGGGTCAGGTTGGGTAGTTGCCTGAGGATGGCGACAGGCCGCATGTCCCCGTAGCCTAGGGCTCCTAAAATGAACCGACTGGCAGAAGCCGCTACAGCTTCGCCCCCTAGAGGCTATGCTGGCTACTGCAGGCCCTCCGCCTCCCGGCGGGAGCTAGGAAGGGGCGGGAGCCTGGTCGCTGACTTCCGTGAGCCCGAGGCTGCCTGCGAGTTTGGGGACCCCGGGCATCTGCGTCCCCAGCCGACCTCGCCACTCTAGTAACCTCGCGCAGACGTCCTTGGGGGCTTCTAGGGGTCCCCCCAGCTGGTCTCCGTTTTCCTGATCCAGTTTAAGGGTCCTAGTCTGGGGCAGGGAAGCGACTGCGGGTCCGCGGTGTCCTAACTGGTTGGGGGTTCCCTGTGCTGCCCTTTTTTTAAGCGCTCACCCGCCCCCTTCTGTCCCTGCCAAGGCCCTAGCGGGTCCCAGAGGACCGCGCACAAGTAACTCCGGAACCCGGAGCCGAAAGAGGAACCAACGCGGGCTGGGCAGGGCGGGGCTCAAAACCTTCGGAAGCTCCGCAGTGGGACACCCGGTGCCTAGACCGGGGAGGTCTTGCGAGGCGCCAGGAATGGCGAGGGTGTACCTCACAGAATGGGCGAGGCGGCGGGGTACACAAAGCAGGGGCCTCGGGCCGGGAAAGAAGGGGGGAAGGGTCGCGCACGTGGCCTGGGGGCGGGGCCGGTCGCTCAGCACCCCTATCTCGGCCACGTGCGGATTTAAACCCTCCCCCTACCCTATCGAGAACGGGGGCGCGCCCGGGGCCAAGGTGGAGGCATCCGGGGAGGAGGCGGGTTGCTGCGGGCCGCGCGCCTCAGCGTGGGGTGGGCGCGCCGGCGAGGAGGCGGTGCGCACGCCAAAGGAGGCGTGGTGCACCCCGCCGGGAGGGGCGTCTTGGAATGAGGCGGGACGCGCTCTGGGGCGGGGCGTGACAGAGTGGGCGGGGCTCACTATCCTGGCGCCTGAGGCTGGGGGGGAGGTGCTCCGGGAAGAGTGCGGGGGCGCACGCTAGGACGGGGTGGGGCTTCGAGACGTGGAAACCCAGAGTAGAGAGAGCAATAGAGGGGTAGGGGCTCCGGCGCTGTCCCGCGCTTGAGTGGGCGCGCAGCGGGACAGGCTTCCTCGGCCCGAGCCCCGCCCCCGATGCCAGCTTGTGCGCGGCAGCTGGGGTGGTAGAGGGCGCGCCGGAGGGGGCGTGGTCTCGGCGCCCCGAGGGGGCGTCCTCCGGGCGGGGCTGGCCGCGGCCGCCCCCGCGGGCTCCG